GTGATGATGGCAACACATGTACAAATATGCCTGATACAATTGATGTATAGAGTGTTATAAGAGCCCCCAATAAAATGATTTAATAAAAAAACAAAAAAATGACTGCATCAGCACATCTGCTGGGAGCTGCCAGAAATTCAAGCCAGATTCAGAAGAGGACGTGGCAGGAGGGCGGTCATTGCTGATGTCAGATGGGTCCTGACTGAAAGCAGAGACTACTGTAAAGATGCTCACTTGCACACCAGAGTGTGCAGAGGCGTTGGGGTGACCCCTGATGAACTATGGAAGTAAAAGGCAACGCCCTGGAAGTCTGCTGGCCGCTGAGGGTGGGGTTGCCGGCGCGTCGTAGCTGGTGGCGGTCCAGGGCGACACTCCAGCTTGGACCCATCCGACGGAATCATCCCCATTCTGACTGGCTTCTTCAGGGGACAAGGCAGGCAGGCACTCCTCCTTTGGCCCCTTGGAGTTCGGAGGCAGTGGGAGAACACACCTGGATGTGGATTCCTTTGGTTTTCAAGTCAGAATGTCAGGGCACAGGAACCATCCTGATACCGGAAATGATCGAGGCAGGGGTGTCTTTGCACCCCTTCAGTGGTGCCATGGACTGAGGTCCCTGGTCCCTGATTCATCCTCACTGGTCCTGCGCGTGGTCAGGGCCTGGTCCCAGGCTCTCCGGGCCTTGGAGAGTGAAGTCAGGCTGAGGCTGTGGCTCTGAGAGCCTGCTCCATGCTGGAGAGGATGGCTTTTTAAGAGAAGACCCAAAGTCTCCCTTGTCTCTGTTCCTCCACACTATACGAGTGCCTAGACCCGTGTGCACACAGGGGCCCAAACATGGCATGTGCTTGCTCTGGGCCTCAATGTTTCTTTTGGTGGAAAGAGATTGTGTCTTCTGCCCGCTCAGCTGGGAAAAAGAGTGCCTTCTGAGCCATCCTGGTAGCCAGCTGCAAGTGTTAATGATGCACAGCTCCCCAGGGGTGCTCAGGCCTCCCCTGACTAGGCAGCAGGTTGCTGACAACACCAGGAGGTGCAGCTCAGCAGTCAGGATGCTGCCGAGCAGCAGCGGGGCGGGGCGGGCCTTCCTCCAGAGCATCCCCAGTGCCCTGCTGTAAAACATTTATGGCAGGCCTGCACATGGACTCTGGCCTAATAAATTCCGCCAAAGGTCTGCAGACTCCACGGGCTGCTGCTTCCGATGGTGGATGAGGCTCGGATGGCCTGGCACGGGGGCGGGACTGGTAAGAGAGGAGACTGCCATAAACATTGACTCTGGACAGGGACAGAAAACCACCGGAGCGGAGAATGCCAGGCTCCAAGTAAGTTAATGAACTACTAAAGCAGACCGGGCACAAGCGGGTCTGATACCGGGCATTACAGACATGGGATCGTAGGGTAAAACGAACGGACTTCAGCCACCTCCTACAACACGCGTGGATCTCGTCGACGGAAGCCAGACACAAACCCTGGCAGGTTTACTGAGGACGCCGTTCTTTCCCCGTTCGTGGTCATGAATCAACATAAAGCATATATGATATCAGGGTCTATAGCTGGGCTTTCTAAGTTATTCCATTAGGTTAGTTATCTATCTTGTGCCAATAGAACATGTTAGTTACTCTTTCCCACCATCTTGGTGCCTTCTCAACGCACTGCCCCAGTCTGTTTCAACTCAGCGGGCCTCTGTGGGACAGAGCAGACCCGCCCCTGGGGGCTTCCCAGCCGGTAAATCTTTGGGGAGTCTTGGAAGGACTCAGAACAGCTGGTCTTGAGTAGTCTTTGTAGTCTGAAGAACCTCATCTATTTACACGGGTGTGCATACAAATACCATTTTCTCCTGAGGGGAAAAGATTGGGGCACCTTGGGAAGTATTTCTAATTTTGTTTCTGAATAGTTGCTCAAGGAGCCCTGGTGTTGTGGTTACACATTGGGCTACGATCCGAAAGATCAACAGTTCGAAACCACCAGTTGCTCTGTGGGGGAAAGAGGGGAGTTTCCCATCCTGGAAACTCACAGGGGCAGTTCTACCCTGTCCTAAACGGCCACTGTGAGTGGGCTTCGACTGGATGGCAGGAGCATGGAAATGGCGAGTTGCCCAACATGCTGTGCTGTGAGCAGGCAGAATGCCAGCCATGACTATTCCACCCAGGCTGCTCATTACATGCCTTGAGGCCATTTGTTTTCATCAGCTTCATTGTATAACGTGTGCCTGTGAACTTAAAAAGACTCATTGCTCAAAAAGGAAAGGTACCAAAGGTACCAACTGCTCACCAAATTCTGGCATTCTACAAATGCCTTCGTAAGGAATCCTCTGACCATGCCTGTGAGATTGTTGTGGCCTAGGGTTGTACCATACACAACGGTCCATGGACTCTAAGGGACGAGGGGCACTCAATGGGTCCCAGAGGAGAGAAGTTTGTTGTTGTTGCTGCTGCTGTTGGCTGCTGTCAAGTTTGTTTCCACTCAGAGGGACCCCATGTACAGCAGAGCTGTTCACTGCAGGGCCTGCACATCCTCACACCTGTCCATTTGTCTGGGCCCACTGTCGCAGCCCTGACTCTGTCCGTCCATCTTCTGGAGGACCTTCCTCTTTCCCGCGCCCCTGCACTTTACCAAGCACGACGTCCTTCTCCAGGGACTACTGTCTCCTGGCAACATGGCCAACGTTCGTGAGACCAAGTCTCCCCGGCCTGTGTCCGTGGAGCACTCTGCCTGCATGTCCAAGACAGATTTCTTTGCCTTTTTGGCAGGCCAGGTACTTTCAATATCCTTTGGCAGCGTACAATCCAAACACATCGATTCTTTTCGGGTCGCGCTTACTCAATGTTGCACTGTCAGATGCAGGAGGCAATTGAAGATACCAGGGCTTGCCCGAGCGCACCTTCGTCCTCAGGTAACCTCTGTGCTTTTCAGCAATCTAAAGAGGCCTTTACAGCAGATCTGCCAAATGCAACGGGCCATTTGATCTCTTGGCTGCTGCTTCCATGAGCACTGATTATGGATCCAAGCAAGACAAAATCCTTGACAACTCCAGTTTTTCTTTTATTTATCATGATGGTACCAATTGGTCCACTTGTGAGGATCTGGTCTTCTTGACACTGAGTCACCATCCACACTGAAGACGTCAACCCTTGATCTTCATCAGCAAGTGCTCCGTGTCCTGTTCGCTTTCAGCAAGCAAGGGGTGTCAGCTGCACGTCACAGGTTGTTAATCAGTCTTCCTCCGCTCCTGATGCCACGTTCTCCTTCATCTGCCCCACAGCCCGTCTTCTGGGGTCATCTGCTTAGCATGCGGAGGGAAGACGCGTGGAGAGAGGACGCCAGCTGACAGACACCCTTCCTGCTACCCCCCATGCGGTAGGCCCTGTTGTGTTCGCGAAGAAGGGAGACTTGGCCGTGCGCTTTGGGGGAAATGGCCACTGCCAACTATATGCATCGCCTCGAGCACTGCCAGATGCTGAAGGTAGAGCAGTTCAGGAAGAGAACGGCACGGTGAAAACGCATCCTCTCTGCCATCAAGTCGTTCTGACTCGTCATGAACCTGGCGGCATAGTGGTTATGAGCTGGGCTGCTAACCACAAGGTCAGAAGTTCAAAACCACTAGCCACTCCTTGGGAGAAAGATAAGGATTTCTACTCCCATAAAGAGTTACAGCTGTCCTGTGTGGTCACTGTGTAGCGATGGACGTCAAATACTTGAAGGGTGGTTGTGCAGTTAAGAAAATCCGGGTGTCATGCTCCCGAGGGAACTACGAGGCCTTACGGGTAGCTATCGGAGAGCTCTGACTCCAGATAAAGAAGAAACCCTAACAATACAATCATTACTCAGACGATGACAGAAAGGGCCTCAGTGAGTCAAAGCAGAAGCACCCTAGCTTCAACACCTGGCAAATGGCAGAGCCACAATGTGAGCCCAGGTGTTCTGGTGCTAAATCCTAATATCCCCCTCTGCTGCTTTAGAAGATGGGCGAAGCCCGAAGCTCCCCACCCCCACCCCTCCCCCACCCCCGCCCCCTATTCAGGTGGAAAAAATGAGTGGCATAAGGAAGCTCTCTAGGTGTTTGTCATTTTTAACCAGTTACCAGCTGACTCAGGCCATGGCTTTTTTTGGGGGGTTGGGGGGGCAAAGGCAAGGCCCAGGGAAGGCAAGAGGTTGCCCCAGCGTGGGTGGAGGAAGGCCAAGGCCACGCAGCCCCTCGCCCTGGTTTGCTTTGCCTCAGTGCCCGGAGCACCCTCTTGCCCTGGTTTCCAGTGTGGGCTGAGGAGCCAGGTCAGCGAGAAGGCTGGTGGGAGGTCTGCCTGTGTGCGTGCTGCTGACCGGGATCAGCTGCTGGACCTGGCTCGGGCTCCTTGGAGCACAAGGCATCATCCGGCTGCCCAGACAGGCAGCTTTGGGAGATGCCCTCCCTCCCCCTCGCTGGGCTTGCCTGAGAGGCCCTGAGGATGTGGAACTTGGAGATGGAAAACAGAGCACCTGTAGGTGAGAGATGTTGAAATCAAGGCAGGGGAGTGAGGGTTGCAGAGGAGGGGAGCTTGCTACAGAACAGCGTTTTTGCTGGCCAAACTCCGAAGGAGCCCCCAGATAAGAACCCTCAAGCGGGGTGGGGCACAAACGAAAGGGTCTTGCCCCAATGACTTGGGCTTCGTGGCCACTGGCCCTCCACCGGGGCTACTGGCAGGGCCTGCGCAGGACAGCTCCCAGGTGTGAGGAGGCTCAGATGAGGGTGGCCTGGTTCAGCCCTGACCTTGGCAGGGCAACAATGGAAGCGCCGAATGGGATTGGGTGGTGGTTGGGTGTTGGCATGTGCCTTAAGGAGGGAACAGGGGAAGGCGGTGGCCCCTCCTCCCTGGCTGCCTTCTCCCTGCCGGTCTGAGAAGGACAGGCAAGGAGCGGGGCGGTGTCTGAGGGCCTGAGCAGTGTGCGTCTGCTGGACGCTTCTCTTCTCGGGCTTGCCCAGCTGGAGGCCCAGCCAGCTGGCAGGAAGCAGGACAGAGGTCACTTGAACTCAGACCACAAGTCCCTGTTAAATACATCAGCTTTTAAATCAATCTTTGTTCAAAGTCCAGCGAGTTTTCTGAGACTAGTGCTTCCAGCAGAGAGAACCGAGCAGCTCCTCGCTTCTGGATCCAGGTAAGAACCTGGGACTCGATCCCACCAGGCCCTGGCCCCCTCCTGCCTCTTCCTCTGTTCCTTCCCAAGCAAGGAGCTGGTCATCCAGGACAGAAGAGAGGCCCGTGAGCAAGTTGTCATTGGCCAGGTCTCTGGATAGGGGCCCAGGGGGGAGCGCCCCCCTCTGAGAGTCTCTGTGCTTGAGATGCCCCAGGGCCCTTGGGGGTTCGGCTGCCTCACACAGTGGTGCGTGGGACTGATTCTCAGAGAAAGATTTTCCAGGGTGGGGGTGGGGGCTGGACGACCAGCCAAAGGGAGACCTCGTAGGTCAGAAGAGAGTTGACTCCAGGGCTTTCTCCACTATTAAAAGGGCTTTGATTCCTGGAGTTTTCTTCTGGAAGGTGTTTATAAAGAACACCGTGTAACGTTCGCATGAGAGCATCTCTCTGAAAAACAAACAACAAACAAACCAAACAACAGACCTATTCTAGCACTAAACAGTGAAGAAGAATGAGTGGAGGGTTGGGCTGGAAACTGCTGTTTCTACCCTTTGGGTGTTTCTCATTCAAGTCTTATAGGAGGCTGCGTTTTTTATTTTAATTTTTGAAACACTCCCCAGATGATTCTCATGAGCAGGCAGGTTTGGCAGCGAATAGCTTATTTTCTAGGCAGGAGAATCAAGGCGCTTACAATGACTTTCACGTCTGGGTTGGCCTCCCAAGAAGAATGCACTCCTCCCAATTTACAGCCTTGCAGTGTAGTGCCAGCACGCTTGGTCCTTACCCCGCGGTGCCTGGCTGGGTCTGAGCCTCTCAGTCCACGGCCATCTGGTCACCTGGAGTCACATGTTCTCCCTGCAGCAACTAATTCAATGACTTTGAGTTTGTGTGACTCAGTAAATTGTTCTTCATCTTTTAAAAAATATAATTTTATTGGGGGCTCGTACAACTCTTATCACAATCCATACATCCCCCCATTGGGTCAAGCATATTTGCACATCTGCAGCCATCATCATTTTCAAAACATTCTCTTTCCACCTGAGCCCCCGGAATCGGCTCATCATCCCCCGCCCTCCCTCATGAACCCTTGATAATTTATAAATTATTATTTTTTTCATGTCTTACACTGACCAATGTCTCCCTTCACCCACTTTTCTGTTGTCCATCCTCCAGGGAGGGGGTTATATATAGGTCATTGTGATCGGTTCCCCCTTTCTCCCTCCACTTCCTCTTCCCCTCCTGGTATCACTACTCTCATTATTGGTCCTGAGGGGTTTGTCTGTCCTGGATTCCCTGTGTTTCCAGCTCTGATCTGTTCCTGTGTATATGCTCTGGTCTAGTCGGATTTGTAAGGTAGAATTGGGATCATGCTAGTGGGAGAGTGAAAGCATTCAAGAACTAGAGGAAAGTTGTATGTTTCATCGGTGCTACACTGCACCCTGACTGGCTCGTCTCCTCCTTGTGACTCTTCTGTAAGGGGAATGTCCAATTGTCTACAGATGGGTGTTGAGCCTCCACTCTGCACTCCTCCTCATTCACATTGATATGATTTTTTGTTCTGGGTCTTTAATGCTTGATACCTGATTCCATCGACATCTCATGATCACACGGGCTGGTGTGCTTCTTCCATGTGGGCTTTATTGCTTAGTAAATTGTTCTTATCTTTGATTTTTTCGGGCATGTTCTTTGTATCATAAGATACAAAGTAGTAATGTCGTGCTGACATTTCTAGACCACTTGCTATGCAGCTCTGATTACAGAGGGGGAGAGAACGCAGGATTGGACAAGCGCTGGGTTTTGGTCAAACTGTTGGTGGTGATACAGTTTTGGAATTCCCAAGGGGCAGTTCTACCTTGTCTTATAGCGTCACGTGGGTCCATATTGACTTGATGGCAGTGCGTTTGCTTTGTATTTTTTTAGCCATTAGACTAAGTCACTTAGCCAGCTGAGCGCTAATGACATCATTTGTCGAAGGAGGACCTCTCCTCTTTGCCCGGGAATGATTGAAGGTGTTGGGAGGACTCAGGGTCCTTACCTTACAAATGTGTGTGTCCCAAACCTCTGTGGAGCAGGGGGGACAAATAGCCGTGCAGTGGGGAAACTGATCTCAGCCTTGTGATCTCACTGAACCTCTGTTTGCCGGCCTATAAATGAGGAGTTGAAACTAGATTACTGCTAATCTGCTTTCCGTCCCACTAAGGACAAACTAGACGCTGGGGCTTTGAGCCTAGTGTCGCCATTGACCTGAAGCTGGCCCATTTCTGAAAAATATTTTTATTGCAGAGCCAGGGGTGTAAGGTTGGATGGGGCTCAGTGTTACAGACCTGGCGTAGGTGTGTGCAGTGCCAAGGGATGTCCCCCGAGGCTCAACCTACGCTAGTTTTTAGGGTTCTCGGGCCCCTTCCTGGGGCCGCAGACAGAAACAGGCCCCCCCCCCTTCCTCAGAGCTTTTCCTGGCTCCTTCCTTTGTGTCATTTGAAGATGTGTTCAGACACTGCCTCTCCTGGGAAGGGCTTCCTAAATCTCCCGGATCCCACCACCAGCTTTGCACATCTGGCCTTCATCGGCGGAACGCTTCCATGCCTCTTGCCACCTGAGCCAGCTTTTAAGCTTGAAGAATGCAAAGATCCTGTCCTTTTGTCACCTCACACATTCACAGATTCCAAGCCCACAAAGGAGGATCTAGCACAGAGTTGAAATCCAGAACCCACTGCCACTTGGGTGGATTCTGGCACCTAGTGACCCTCTCGGACAGTGGAATGGCTGCTTCATCTGGTTCCCAAGACTGTAAGTCTGCATGGGAGCAGACAGCTTCACTCTCTTCCATGGAGCGACTGGTGGGCTGGAACCATGACCTTGCAACTCATAGGCCGGTGTTTAACCCACAGCGCCACCAGGGCTGCAGGCACGGAGTCGTTGGTGAGCTTTGGAGAAGTGGAAGCTGGTGTGGCAGAGACGGAGTTTGAAGATGAGGAGGGTGGGCTGTTTTGCTGCGGCTCCTCAGGGCTGGAGGCTGGAGAATTCAGATACGCTCTCAACTCTTCTTCCAGCCCAGAAGCCGATCATGCGGGAGTGGGTTCTTTCAGGCCACGGCTTGGCTGTGGTTTTCACGCTCTGCACAGGCATGTGACAGCACGCTAGAGCTAGGTGCCTTTTCCTCAAGAGCTCAGCAACCTCTTTGCTTGGTTCTTCCTGACGCACCGCTCCGGTCTCCCTAATCTCTGCCTGGTGAAGGTCATGGCTTTGGAGTTGGAAACCCGTCCGTCAACAGACCGGACTCCATCGCTAATGCTC